AACATTTTTCGTCCCTCCGGCAAAAAATACCTGCAAATATACGGTCTACAGAAACTCTGTCACTGCTTTAGCATATCCCTATACATGCAAAATATCACAAAGAAATAGGTGCTTGGCCTTGTAGATTTTTTGCTATTGCTGAAAGTTTGTACCCCCCTGTAAAATTACTTGTTTTCACCCAGCATGCTGTTTAAAAGCAATGTTTACAAACAATGGCGGCCTTGACATCAATAATTATCAGCATGTTATTTCTAACCATGTTTTCGAATTTGCCAATGATCATATTACATGTCATAAAAACAAATTTCATGCTGAAAATGCATTTTAAAGACAACCAGTCATTTAAATCGACAATAGTCAATATATCCATGAAATCCTCCCTCAGGCTGGCCATTCGAAGCTGTGGCTTCATTTAGTGTGGTGTGCTGCCTTAAACACTACTTCTTGTAGGTAGATAGATAGATACTTTTTATTCCTCCAATATTGTAAAAAGAGCAAAACAGATTAACAAACCGAACAATAAAAGAGGATGGCATATGTACACTATATTACAAAACAAAACATCAAAGGAAAATATCATTTCTTACGCAATCCTTTCAGTTGGAATATAATCTGGAATTAATACAGATTGACGCAGACACAACAAATGAAATCTGCAAATATTTACGATATTTATTTATAAAACAATGTATTTACAAAATATAAATATATTACAATACAATTAAAACAATTTATGGTCAGATGTGAAGTGCAATAACAATTATAACATATATTTGAATGACTTATACCGATATGTTAAGCTACATGTGCATGTACAATTCTAGGTAAGTATTGTTAGTATTACTGTAATTTATAAAAACGTATATACATAAACAAACACGTGTGGTTTTACGCATGCTTAAAATGGCTGCGAAGGAATGGTCAGCTGTATACAGCATACCTTTAGAAGAGCCGAATAAAATGCTACGAATGTCTGTTTAGAGACTAATTATATACAGTGCCCTCCAAAAGTTCTTGGACAAACTATTTTTGTAGTGTTTACACAATTAAATGATGTAAAACATAAATCATAAGTAAAATATAACCTCATATGAAGCACAAGTTATACATGTACACTAAAGTATGAAATGTCCTTATACATGTATATATATATTAACAAAAGGTCATTTCATAACCCGCGAAGCGGGTCCGGGCTTTGGCTTGCCCGGCTATAGACTACACGTGTATATTTAAAAGAAAATCAAATAAAAAACAATTAAAAAATATATAGAATTCTATACCTATCAATGAAATTTTCGGTGTCAGTTCTAGTCGGGCGCCGCCATTTACAATGTAAATCAATGATAATAGGCGGGGTATTCCAATAACGGAACAAATCTCAACTTTTCGGATCAATAATATTCGTCGAGTGTTCCGAGTGAAAACGGAAGCGGTGCATGTAATACCGAATGACACCTTTAAAACGGAAAGAATGAAAGGAATTTTTCAACGACTTCCCCGTTCATAGGCTTTGCCTAATTTCATATTATAATTTTTGTAGGTATTTATTTGCTAAATAATGCTAAAATTTATAGCAAATAATATGAAAAAGGCAAAGCCTCAAAGCGAGCTCGATGTACTTTTAACGTTAAATAGTATGAAATAATCGCTCATGCAGTGACGAGTGCGTGTGACGTCACACGTACTGTGTTAAATATGGCTCCGCCCCTGTCGTTAAATGAATAACGAGTTTTGAAAACGTTGATAAAACTTTGTTTGTTTATGTTTTATTTCACTCTATAATTTTTCAAGCGAAATAAAGATTATTAAAAGTGAAATAAATGTAAAACTTAAAACGTTTGCGACATTAAAAGACCATTTTCTTTCATTCTACATAGTTTTCAAAACAAATTTCGACAAAAAATGTTTTTATTTATCAGATTTTTCAAATAAAATGGCGCCTTCATTTTACATTTTCCGTTTTAAAACTGTCATTCAATATTTTATACACAGCTTCCGTTATTCTGGTTCCCTGTCCAATTATGGTTCCCATAGACGTGCGCGCGTGACCAGTCTACACATCCGTTTTTAATACGGGGAAGTCAAAGACCGGGCCCGCGAAGCGGGTCCGGGCTTTGGCTTGCCCGGCTATAGACTACACGTGTATATTTAAAAGAAAATCAAATTAAAAACATTTAAAAAATATATAGAATTCTATACCTATCAATGAAATTTTCGGTGTCAGTTAAAGTCGGGCGCCGCCATTTACAATGTAACTCAATGATAAAAGGCGGGGTATTCCGATAACGGAACAGATCTCAACTTTTCGGATAAATAATAAACGTCGAGTGTTCCGAGTGAAAACGGAAGCGGTGCATGTAATACCGAATGACAATTTTAAAACGGAAAGAATGAAAGGAATTTTTAACGACTTCCCCGTTCATAGGCTTTGCCTAATTTCATATTACGGGGAAGTCAAAGTCCGGGCCCGAGCTTTGTTTTGCCCGGCTGTAGACTACACGTGTATATTTAAAGAAAATCAAATAAAAAAATATATATATATATATAGAGAATTCTATACCTATCAATGAAATTTTCAGTGTCAGTTCTAGTAGGCGCCGCCATTTACAATGTAACTCAATGATAAAAGACGGTGTATTCCGATAACGGAACAAATCTCAACTTTTCGGATAAATAATAAACGTCGAGTGTTCCGAGTGAAAACGGAAGTGGTGCATGAAATACCGAATGACACTTTTAAAACGGAAAAAATGAAAGGAATTTTTAACGACTTCCCCGTTCATAGGCTTTGCCTAATTTCATATTATTTTCATCATGTAGCCGAGTAGTAATAATGTCTATCATGAATATGTATTTATTTTTTAAGGTGTAAGAATTGACACGCCGATAACATTGATATAAACTAGCTGTCGTGATAAAAATAATATAATATAATTAATGTTATTGTCGGAATATTCCGGAAATGGCTCGGACCGGGTACGTTACGATACCGAAATCAACTTGATTTCGGTAAAGTTACCGAAATCAACTTTTCATTACCGAAATCAACTCGTAAAAACCAAACTAGTTAAAATATTGCTATTATTTCTTCATTATTTGATGAAAAATAATGAAATAGACTTTCAGTTAAAAAATCTATTGAAAATATTTTATTTTAATGATGTTATTAACAAAAATGTAATTATTGAGTTACTTCCCTTTGTTCTAACCACCCGTTATGTGTTTAGCATTACCGAAATCAGCTGTGAAGTTTGAATTATGTCTATAATTAGTAGATAATAGATTTGATAACTGTAGTAGAGCTCTATTTTATAGACATATTTATGTTTTTAAGTTTCAACCATATCTAAATATTATTAATGTTGAACGGTTTTGTAAAGATCTCACTAGGTTAAGAGTATCATCTCATAGATTGCACATAGAATCAGGTAGATGAACTAAACCAAATAGTACACCTTTAAATGATAGAAAATGTTTTTCATGTAATGTCTTAGAAGACGAATACCATTTCATATTAGAATGCAATGTATATAATGATTTAAGAAAAAGTCTGATACCGCCATATTAGCATGTTATATATCTGCACGTGATTGTCGTGCATAACAATTTTCTAATCAAATCGTATTTTTAAAAAGCTATGATCGGACTATGATGGAAAAATAAAATACTCTGTAATATGAGTTAAAGATATTTATAAATTTTGTACATGTTTATGTTTTATGAAGAAAAAATATCCAACTTCAACCGGAAGTTTATGATTTTCTATTATAAATTTGAATACAGGTATATAATTCGACTGCTCTAAAAATGTTCCATAAAAATTGTATAATGTATCAGGCAGTAAAAATGGGAATTGGAAAGTTTGTGTCTTTCTTTTATTGAACAGTTAAACTATATATTAACAAATCGCTAACATATGTTATGGGGACTCTTTATCATAATATTTTTAAATCTTAATCATTTATTTAAATGTTTATTACGACATAAACAGATGGTTCATTATAATCTTTTATCTTTAACATACATTGTATGCCAACTGTACCTCCTGTCTTAATTACTTCACACCTTACTTAATACAGTAATACACAACATGTCAAATCGTACAAGTCACAACATTTCATAATTGAAATTTGTCAGTATAAAGTGATCTATTTTTTCCATCATATAAATATATACCAGTCATTCCATAAATTTTTGCTGTTTACAGATATGAAATTTAAAATGATTTTAAATCGATCAACATAAAATCATGACTTAACACTTTTTCAATAAGTAGAATATGTAGTTAAGTATCCGGGACATCAAAAATTGCATACATTTTTGGAACAACTAATATACAATTTGGAAATAATAATAACAAAGCACCTTGTCTCATATACCGAAATGTTTTCTACGGAAACGTATAGTGACCAACCCTATATGTTAGTTAAAACAGATCTTTTGACAATTTATTTAATTTTTATCAAACATTTATTTCGGTTCGTGACAAATCAGGGAATAATCTTAATATTTAGTTATTTGTTTCTAATTTCATTATAAATAATTATTTCAATTTCATTATAAATAATTATTTCGAACTGATTTTTTGCATGAAAGTCAAACTAAACCTATTGTAATAGATTATAATGAAAAAAATATAATAGAACGCTTAATTATGATTTTACAAGCCGATTTCGGTATGGTAACATATATTTCGGTTTGTGACAAATCAGGGAATAATCTTAATATTTAGTTATTTGTTTCTAATTTCATTATTAATAATTATTTCAAACTGATTTTTTGCATGAAAGTCAAACTTAATCTATTGTAATATATTTTAAAGAAAAAAAATATAATAAAACGCTTTATTGTGATTTTATAAGTTGATTTCGGTAATGAAAAGTTGATTTCGGTAACTTAAATACCGAAATCAAGTTGATTTCGGTATCGTAACGTACCGGCTCGGACCGTCTACCTCCTACATTACGGGAATTAGATATAAAATATTATTTTCAAAATGGCTGCGCCCGTTACGCATGGATTTCAATAATATTATTTACCTTATTTTAGGTCGGATATGAGATAGAAAATTGTGATTTTTCGCCAGTGAGAAGTATTTTACTTAATAACTTTGAAATACCGGTTGACAATGTCTGATAATTCTGAGATATTGAGTAATTTAGAAGACAACTCTTCTGGGAACTTGAATATAATTCGGACAGACATGGAAAAAGAGAACGCTTCAAATTCCTATGAAGAAAATAGCGCTGACAACGGTGTTGTGCAATTGGGGGGATCACAAAGTGATCAATTACAATGTGATGACTGTAAACCAATGGATGAAACAAAGGAAGTGGTAGATGAACTAGTAAAAGTTGATATTGCGCCACAAGAAAACGAGTCGGCAGGTCTGTCATTAAGTGAATATAAAGAAGCTACTATCAGACTTTTAGACGAAGTAACTTCTAACGTTAACACAATACCCGAGACAGATTCTTCAACTAATACTGAAATAAGAGCTGCAGCAAGTACTAGTATAGATCTGACAAAATCTGATTCAGTTGAAATTGTGACAATTCAATCTGGTTCTAGTGCAGAAAACTCAAGATCACCTCCTATAGATGATGGAGATGTAACTGTTGATCTCACAAATGAAGGAGAAGATAGTAAAGAATGTGCAATAGAGTCAGTTACTTCAATGAGCTCATTTGATGAACATAATTGTGACGAACCAGTTGCAAAGAGGCTTAAGTTGGGAACTGATCCTATTTCTATTGACCTCACTGAAGTTAAAGATAACTCAAATGCATCATCAGATGTTGTTATAGTTCCAGAGACTGAAGAAAGTGCTCCTTCAAAAGACACAGACATGGAAAGCTTCCTAAGGTTTATTTATATACCTTTACATATCAAGTTCAATTTTCAAACTAAATAAATGCCATTTAAATAACTTCTCAGGATGATTTCTTCATATGGGTAATATTCTGCTTAACTTAAACTTAGAGAAGAGAATTAATAATTTTATCTCATATTTTAGGTTGTCTGTTTTTGAGTTTAAAGGTCCCCCAAGACAGCTGACTGGAGCATGGGAATGTTTCAAAGACTCTGAAAACAAAAACTATCTTCGAGGATGTAAATGGTATGTGTAGATAGACAAACTTTATTTTCATTTTTAGATTTAGTTTGGACGTATTAGACAAGGAATATCATATTATTACCTCAGGAAACTTGAAAATGGTTTGTTTTTTCCCCCGAATTTTGGGCAAAATGTCGCTAAAATTCCGAATCTCAAGGGTATGGGTCATGTTCCCAAAATACTGGGGGAAAAACCTGGACGTTTGGGCTATATGGCCAATGAGTAGCATTTGGAAACTAAATCAGGGCGCCAAAATGAAAAAGCTTTAGAGATTCGAAATAAAAAATATTGCAATCATTAAGACTTTATTGACCTTTAAATACATGTACTCTTTAAAATGGAGTTAATGTATTAGTAGTATACAACCTGAAGTAAATTCTTGTGTTTATAATAAAGTCAACAGGGACAATAACATGTTCAATAATAACAAATTGATTATGTTATGATTGTTATTGATATTGTTGATATGTTTCAGGTCTCCAGATGGTACATGCATTCTCACAAACAGCAATGACAACAAACTCAAGCTGTTTAACTTACCAGATGAGCTGTACTACAGTGGTGGAGAAAATAAGATCATAGATGGATTGGTAATTTCATAGATAATTAATCTGTGTTTATTAATGTATTGTAATGTTTGTAATCCGGAACTCAGCAAATGTGGGTTTTCCCCAGCTAATCCTCTGGTACAAACAAACCTTTGCCATTAATAACTTCACGGTGCACTACCATTCACCACAAATAAGTCAATCTGTTGTGCTTATTTTCGAGGCTGTTACTGTAAAAGTTGGTTTGTATGCTCGGAATAGATGGGTAAAAGCAAAATATTCTTAATTTCTGTGTAAGTCTATTGATAGATCACTACTCTGACCTTTCTTTTTGAATAACAATAGATTTAACCACAAACATTGACATAATATGTTCTTCTGTTAACAAAATGTGATGTGGTGAAATTCTTGTTTTAATCCGATAATCTGATAAATAGAATTAGACAGGTCAGGGATCTATGCATGGGTGCATGTTAAAGATGTCCGACACACTTCCTTCTCTTCTACCTTACATGAGAATGCCTGTTGTTGCCTTTGTATGAAGGAATAAAGGACTGGAAATAAATGTGCAAAATCATGCAACAAGTTAGTTGAATTATTACAAGCAGTTATTGGTGCTTTTTACATAATTTGTATTACCTCTGAGGGTCAATTTTGACTAAGTTTTACTGACTACAAGGTCAAATCCCCATGATTTTAACAAAATTTGACCTCCAGTTAAAATCCTGAGGGTCAAATCAGGCAATTTAAAAATTTGAAGGGTCAAAGAGTCATTTCAAGGGTCAAACGGACATCCTGAGTCCTCCCTTGGGTCATCCCCCCCCCCCCCCTTCAAATCAAATGCAATTTGTATGCTGAGAAAAATTATTTTCATATTGGTGTGATATTAATACTTTTTCATTACACATGCAAAAGAATTTTACAATTCACCTAAATCATGTAGTTTTTTTTTCATCATTATTATTTACTTTCATATTTTGTCATTTATGCTGAATAATGTCTTGCAGGATTACTTTCACTTTTTTCAAGGGAGGTAATTTACTATATTCCATCTGGGAAAATTGAAATCTGTATTATCACAACTCCCTAAAGAGAGGAACTAAAAATGTTAAGAGACAGTCTTTCCTTATTAATAAATCTTATGATTTATAACAGTTACGTATATTTTTTGTTTTCTTTTATTATGTAGAAACCAGTGCTTAATATGAAGGAAGCTGATACTGTGTATGACTTCTGCTGGTACCCACTAATGTCTTCATCACAGCCAGAAACCGCATGGTAAGTTATTGATATCTGTCATTCTCAAGAAATTAGAATTTAACTGTCAATCTGTTGTTTAAAACAGGCCTTTAGCATCAACTTACTTCTAGAAATAGGCCTTAACATTGATCTGCTTCTGGAAACAGGTTATTATTTATATGATTGTTTGAAATATATACATTGTTGGTTTGATAAAGGACTTGATTACACATTCCTTTGTCATATTTTGAAACATTTTTTGTTATATGAATAACATATTGTGTTATTAATATGATACATTATTGTTTCATTAATAACATACATGTATATATATTGTTTCATTGAAGTATTCATGATTTGTTTAAGACGAAATCAATGAGAAAAATTAATCTCAGTACCTGAACAGTCAAACTTATTCATGTAAGAGGCTCTATGAAAATGTGTTTTCAAATGATAGAAGATGGTTTGCCAAAAAAAGAAATAATTTTTACGCGATTAAATTTTTGTGAAGAATTTCAAGTCTCAAAAATAGCAAATATTTCAATCTTGCAAAATTAACCACTTGAACAGTAGTGTAAGATTGATCTATCAAATATGATTTATTTGCAGCCTAGCTGTTACTAGTAAAGACACACCTGTTCATCTTTATGATGCCTTCACTGGGGACATTAGATGCAGTTACAGGGCATATAACCATTTGGTAAGGCAATTTATACAGTCACTTTACTGCTGAATTAATAGAAAATACTTTTGTTATGAATTTATAAAAAAAATTGTTTTGATGAGAAACATTTAGTCACAAATTTGAAATAGAACATATTAGTTCTGTAAACAGATTAAAGTGTTCAAACGTATATTGAATAAAGAGGATATTGAATGAGTGTAAGTTCAATACTAAATTTATTGCACAAGTTGAATAAAATTATATTATGCAAGCATAATATTATTTTATTCAACAAGTTCAATAAATTCAGTAATGAACTTACACAAATTTAATATTCTATTTATCACATACCCATAATAAAGACAGTTTAAAGTGAAAAAAAAAGAGTCATTTTTCATTTAGCGTGTCTTTACACTATGTATATATATAACCCTGATGATGTCACGTCAAAATATATGTACGGCCGTGCAATACCATTTTAACAGAGTCGCAAAATCAGCATGGGTGTGTGATAAATGTAATTAAGTCATACAATTGCCTATTGGGTAATAGTCAGAGAAAGTGATTTGTAGGGGTTAAGCATTGCTTCCCTAATATGGTAGTTGTATGTCCACATCCCACTAATGGTGGGATTCTCTTTAGACTCTACTTAAACAATCTACACTTTTGCAAGTGACTACTGGGTATGATAGCCAGGAAAGAGTCGACTGGCATCACATCATGCACTTGTCACCCCAATAGAGGGGACAAAAAACAACAAACAATATATCAATTTGTTGTCTTAACTTGATAAGTGGGGCTATCATATGAAACTTTTAACACAGTAGTTTTTTTTTTAATCTTCTATACATTGAATGTGTTGTTCTTCTAGCTTACACTATCATGCATGTATCATGGCTTAAAGACTGGAACATTTGTGTAATATTTTTTAAGTTTTATTTGTCTGTTTGGTTGGTTTTACAGCATACCAACACAGTTTAGGTTATAAGGTCCGAAACAAGAAAGATGATTTTGGCTAACCTCAGGTGTTACAAATTTTAAGCACCACCAGGGGAAGAAACCACCTCACCTGCTGGAACTAAGTGATGGTTAAAATCCAGTAATTCAAACCCACTTACTCTTCTCTTACAATCACGCACAAATAAATGGTGGCTGCAATTCTGATGCCTCAACCCTTAATGTCAACCCCTCAGCCATACGGTGCAGAGTGCTTTTAAGAGTTTGAAGCTTTGATTATACCAGTTTAGGGGCCTAGGATTATGTTGATTTAAATTGTTCCTTGACCATGTTTAAAAGTACATGTAATGATGATAAAGGTTAATAATTTATTATATGTACAGAAACTTGGGCCTCTGTGACTAAGTGGTTAAGGTTGTTGACTTTAATTCAGTTGCTCTCACTGTTGTATGTTTGAGTCCTGGCGATAATTAATTTCTATTTGTTTTATATTGCCCATGAATTAGGATGAAGTGGTAGCAGCACATTGTGTTAAGTTTAGTTCTGATGGTAACAAGATATACTGTGGATTCAACAAGATGATTCGAGTGTTTGATGTTACAAGACCAGGGAGAGATTTTGAAAGTAGACCAACGTTTGGTAGATTTTTTATTATCCATTTTATCATACAATTATTAGCATTACTTAGCATATGATCTATTTGTTATGCAAATATGTTGCTTTCTGTAACACCACAATCATGATTTTAAACAGGTGTACACGTTTTTGGCAAAAGTTTATACTAGTAGTCCAGTGCTGTTAATAAAATGTGCAAAAGGATTAAATGGGATAAGTGTATAATTGTGACACAAAAAGCATAAGGTGTGTTCTGCTTATACTAAAGTACAAAAGTTTATAAAGGATTGAAAAAAGTTATTACTAAAAAAACTGGATTTAATATCCTCTGTACAATAATATTTGTACATTGTTTAAAGACATATGAAGGAAGTTGGTTTTAGTCTGGCACCTGCTCTTGCCTAAATAGCTTTGTAACTAGCTTACAGAAGGTTGATGGTTCTACTCAGGCTTCCGTTTGTGCCTGAAATAATGTATGGCGGGTCACCTGAGATCTTTCTCCACAAGTTAAGCTGGAAAGTCACCATATAACCTTTATAGTGTTGATGTGACATAATACTGAATGATAAAAACTACTCAATAATAAAAGAAAAACTATCATTATTTTAATGTTTAATTGTCTTAAAATGTGTAAGTCCATTTAAATCTGAAACATAGTGATAAATTAATAAAATTATTCATATATTGTGTGTATTGTTTCAGCTAAGGAAGGACAGAGGGGTATTATATCATGTATTGACAACAGTCCAACAGAGCAAGGCCTGTATGCAGCAGGATCATACTCTAGAAGTAGTAAGTCAAAGTGTATGATAGAACCTCCCTTGAGGTTTAAATTATGAAATATTATGGGTTACAGAACTGAGGTCCTGACCTGATATGACACCAGTACTGGTTAGCTCCAAGAAGCGAACTCAAATGAGTTGCAAGAATGTGTTTCACACTGGACGTTTGAAAAAATTTATTAATGTTGAAATTATGGTGTTTCCATAAAATGTTCCGTAACAAAATCCATAACTAAATGTTATGTGGCTATTTTAAGTAGGGTTTCTTTTTTTTTGTTAAATTAACTGTTTAGCAATGATTTTCTGCATGGACCTTTCTCAAGGAAGTGTAGTACAAACTATATATTTTTCATACTCTCAGGTGTTTTGGAACTATTCTTTTTTTTTTAATTCAAACGAAGATTTTTTAACTACAGAGAACAGATAATATAGAGTTTTATACACTTGAAAAAGATATGTTTGAACTAATCTTATCTAAATAACTGGTGTCAGGTTTTAACTGGATGTAGTATTGGGATTGAGGCCATCTGGAAATGCTAAAAAGTACTAATTTGTAACAACACTGAGAAACAATTTGCAAAGGAATATTTATGTAAGATTGTGATATTAACAATTCTTTTATTTCTGTTGACCATAGTTGCCTTATACAGTGAGCCAGCAGGGTCCATGGTGTGTATGTTTGAAGGTCAACATGGTGGGGTCACAGAGGTCAAGTTCTCTCCAGATGGTACAAAACTCTACAGTGGTGGTAGAAAGGTAATTGATGGCACAGAAAAAATTTTCAGTTACTTTCTCACAAAAAAAATGATACTGAAAAATCAGGAAAGAAATTGGAATAAGAATTGTAGACTTGTGATATTTTTAGTTACCAGAACAGCTCGATATTATTTTCCATTTGTGAATTGTTTGAAAGAAAATCTAAAATAAGGACAATATTGGTTTGTTTATAATAAAAGGCACTTTATATCACGTTAATACACTTTTGTGATGTAACAATTTAAGCAATAGTGTATGAAATGTGGAAAAATAAAAAAGATGTGTGTATTTTATTCTTTGGAAACAACTGTATTTTTATCTGAAAACTTGTATTGTTGTGGTATTTTTCGTCTGACATATTACAGGTATGACTGTATTTTACTTATCTGAAAACTTAAAAGTGTATATGTATGATATTTATCTCTCTTTTTCAGGACAATGAGATTATATGCTGGGATATGAGAAATCCAGGTCAAATATTGTTCTCTGTACTTAGAACTGTTATAACAAATCAAAGAATTTACTTTGATATTACCAGGTAGGTTCTTAGTGTTTAACAAAGCCAATTTGATACAATTTTTGACTTGACTATGGAAATAAACTGGGATATTCTACTCATGATAGTTTTCAAAGTTAATCTTTTAAAAAGATTTTGTATGCAAATTTATATCTCTATCTTGTCTCGTCTTCATGAGGGACTTCTGGGTAGGTGTGAGTAAAGGTCCCAAAATTCAAATTTTTAACCTATTGTCACTGTGGTTTTGTTTCTCATTAGAGACTTAAGGTTCTTTCATGTGAGGAAGATACAAACCTAGGGAATTGAAGATTGTTGGCTCTACTCAGAGCTGATGTCTTCATCCACCAGTAAAGCTGTAAAGTTGCCATGACCTTGACAGTGTTAATGTGATTTGAAATCCAACAAAACAAAACAAAAAAGTCTGCAGAATTTATATTGTATGTCAGTGTCTTCTAGCATGAATTTTTGCAGCATTATTCCCCTTGTGACATTGCTATTATGCTAATGTTTTACTGACAAGCACTGACAACTGACAGTTGTCAGTGACCACTTGAAAGTTATTTAGGATTACAAACATCACTTTCCAAATGGAATGTCAGTCAGAATGAGGCTCAATAAAATTGTGACTTCTGAACCATGTAACATCTAATATTAGAACAAACAACAGTTCAATGAATGTATAGAAGAAAAAAACCTTAACATGTGATTTAAGTTAAAGATGAGTATTTATTAACAAAAATTAAATTATCATGAATAACTGTAATATTTGCAGGTCTGTCAGTTCACCATTCTCATAATTATAACATGTAAATCTATTGTCTTGTTATCCACATGTTTAAACTAGCTGAAACTTAAATATAATGTTATATGTAGTAATTGATGGTTTATTTTACAGTGACAGTAAATATTTGTTGTCTGGATCTCACGATGGTACTGTTCTTATCTGGGATACTACCAGTGCCCCTGTACAGCTTAACGTACATTCTGATCCTGTCATACAGCCAGTCATGGCATTTGAGGGTCACAGTGATACAGTTAATGGAATTAGGTATGTTGAATGATTTATGTGCAGTAAATAGATTATTTTATACATTATTCTATGAAGTTTAAACCAAAAATGAGAATCTATTCAGCTTGTTTATGATAGTATGTCCACGGTTCTACTTAATTTGCCTCTTTGTGTTAAAAAAATGCTTGTTCCTATAGACAGCCTCCACCAGAAAAGCACCCCAATGCACAGAGTCTTGTGTGACTTGAAATGTACCAAAATAAAATGTAAATAGCCATATGGAAATTCATACTTAAATTATCTGTTACTAAACTGTTTAAAACTAAGATATAAATAATCAGTCAAGAGTGGATATCATAGCTTAAACATCAGTTCCATTGTTTCTGGAATATATGTGTTAAGATGGATGACATTAAATCACTGTTTCCTTCAGGTTTTAAGTTGGTTAAGGATGTTAATTTCTTTTATGTGGGGAACCTATCCTCTAGGTTGTGAAAGGTCAGTTGCTATATGTGCTCATTCAGTTTAGAAAAAAATGCTTAAAGGGGCACACATAAGGAAGATATATTACTATACAACTGTAACAGAGAGTTAATGCACGTCTTTTTTTGCATTAACATCTGCAGAAGCGCAAGGAAGCTTTTTAAGCTGTAGCTGACAGGATGAGGGATTTAATAAGTTAGAGGGTGTCTGCACATTAGCACTATTCTTGCATTAATAGTATATGTCTAAATCGGTAGTTCCAGGTTTCGTTATCTGTATTTCGTGTAAAAAAACATTGCTTGTGCCATACTTTCCACCTGCTTGTGCAATGACATTTGACAGTTATGTTTTGATAATAAAAAAATACCAGGGGTGTCATTGCATTAAACTGTATTTACTTTGGGGCTCAGAGTTTTGCATATTAAAAAACATGCAACTATTAATGCATGTTTTATTCGTCATTAATGTTTACCTGTATGTGGTTTTTATACAAAAATATTGTTTGGAACACATAAAATCAATCTAAAGGAAAGAAATTAATCTCAAGTATACTGTATACTTTTCTTTTGTTGGATTGTCAGTAAGTTGGTCAAGAATCCTGTATCTGTAATTTCAGTTTACATCCTACCTTGCCAGTGATAGCTACAGCCTCTGGACAACGACATTTCCGCTCGTTCAACAACGATGATGATGTCATCGAGATCGATGAAACATCGACAAAAATTGACAACAGTTTACGACTCTGGTGGTCATGAGTTTACATCGAAGTTAATTAATAACAAGATAATGGTGGTCATGGGTTTTATTTGAAAGTTAATAATGTTATAGTGAATGTTTATCATGAGGTTATATGTAGATATATAGGAGGTTTGTTTCCTTACAGTGAAATATAGGTTATATCTCTTTGAAATTATTTTAACATATTCTAATATCATGTAATACATGTGAAATATACTTGAATTGGGCTAAGAATTGCAAACAAAAAATGATTTTCAATTTATTTCTGATTATACTTCTTAATTATTGTTGCATGTCTTTTTGTTTTAAGTGCCCCAGCTCATCTATGTAAGAAATTTAATTCAAATTTATGTTTTTTTTAGGCTTTTGGACCTCGGTGGAGTATTCTTAAAGGGATGTTGTAGGGGGCCATTTCTTTATCATTTATAATTGTGAATCTGTGCCTTAGTTTTGTGATGTGTATGTACATATATTTTAACTTATAATTGACTCTATTCTTTCAAAAGCTTTAATTTGTGCACAAGTGTTTCTTATCACTCCGACGAATATACTCATATCATTCTAGGGCTTTAAAGATATTTAGTATTATCTGTTCTGACTGGTTTATGGTTTAGTGATAGACTTCAGATCACTTGTATTAACTCACTGCTATGAATTTAAACCTTGCCAGAATATTTAAGGATGTTTTAGGGAGTTTTTCATAAAGACATATAGGCAAAATTAAAACTGTTCGAAAAAAACCCAAAAATAACTTGGGGGTTGTCATTCTCACTTCTGAGTTTTCTACCCTTGAATCAGAATTTTAAAGAGGAGTTGTGGCCTAGTGGTTCAGATCACTGCTATAAAATTAAACCTTGCCAGAATGTTTAAGGGAAGTAATGGTCTAGTTGTTTGGTTGTCTGCCTCTCAACCCAGACATTGTTGGTAAGAGACCATTCAAAGTCACAACATTGCTTCCTTATATGACACCAGTTGTGGTTTATTCCAGAAAGCTGACTGAGAGGGGTTCGATTAAGCTACAGACATTTTTCTCAGTGAAGCTTAGATAAATTATTTTAAAGCTCATTAATGTATAACTGTCTAAAAATTGTATGCTAATATATTTTTATACATGTACATGTCTTTCCCAGGAATTCACAATCTATCTACATTTGAAATAAATAGAATTTCAAAATATAATGGCAGTCATTTTCAGGTCTTGCATTTAAATCTTATTTAATTTCATTAATGAAATTATAATCTTCATGGCCTTTATTAAAACACTACCATCATGTTTATGATTATGGTCAGTTTATAATTGTAATATATAATAGGTGTGTACACATCCTATTTTGTTCTTTTTGTCTTAAAATTATATACTCGTTAATGATTATTTTCCAATTGTGAACTCATTTTCATTTTTGACAATTTGATAATGAACATATTATCATGGGTGCAAGTTTTCAGGCATATGCCTGATATGTTTTGTGTGACAAATTTCATCATGTTTTACTATTAGATTATGTAGGAAAATGATTATGAATGAAGGTTTTCAGGTTTTTCCAATCTTTCAACTTGCACCCATGTATTATCTAAGTGTGTATATATTTAAACGCTGATGACCAGTTTTTCTGTTGTTTTTGGTTGTTGTTTTTGTTGTTAGATAAATATTTCTTTGTTCAGCTTATTATTTGTTTAAGGACCAAGATTAAGTTTGTATTCTGGATATATGATTTTTACATCATTCCATTCATTACTTGTCAGGTGGTATCTTAATATTTCATCAGGTATGAAATTATTGGCCTTACATGGTACTTGTCAGACATAGGTAAGGAATTCTCAAACTATAGCTTTTTATACCCCCAAAAACGAAGTTTGGGGGGTATATAGGAGTCACCCGGTGGTCGGTCGGTCGGTTGGTCGGTCCAGACGTCCGTTGCATTTTCCTTGTCCGGAGCATAACTTGAAGACTAATGATTGGAATTCAATATAACTACACACAATGGTCAAGCACATTGAGAGGAAGTGCAGTGCACAAGAACCATAACTCTATCTTGACTAATTACAGAGTTATTGCCCTTTGTTACTTTTCCTTGTCTGGGGCATAACTTGAAAACTACTGGTTGGAATTCAAAACAACTTCATACAATTGTCAAACACAATAAGGGGAAGTGCAGTGCACAAGAACCATAACTCTATCTAAAGTAATTACAGAGTTATTGCCCTTTGTTACTTTTCCATTCCTTTCTTTTGTCCGGACCATAACTTGAAGACTAATAGTTGGAATTCAATATAACTACATACAATGGTCAAGCACATTGCGAGGAAGTGCAGTGCACAAGAACCATAACTATATCTTGACTAATAACAGAGTTATTGCCCTTTGTTTCTTTTCATTGTCCGGGGCATAACTTGAAAACTACTAGATGGAATCCAAAACAACTTCATACAATTTTCAAACACAATAAGGGGAAGTGCAGTGCACAAGAACCATAACTCTATCTAAAGTAATTACAGAGTTATTGCCCTTTGTTACTTTTCCATTGCTTTCTTTTGTCCGGACCATAACTTGAAGACTAATTGTTGGAATTCATTATAACTTAATACAATGGTCAAGCACATTGAGAGGAAGTGCAGTGCACAAGAACCATAACTCCATCTTGACTTATTCGAGAGTTATTGCCCTTCGTTACTTTTCTGTGTCCGGGGCATAACTTGAAAACTACTAGTTGGAATTCAAAACAACTTCATACAATTGTCAAACACAATAAGGGGAAGTGCAGTGCACAAGAACCATAACTCTATCTAAAGTAATTACAGAGTTATTGCCCTTTGTTACTTTTCCTTGTCTGGGGCATAACTTGAAAACTACTGGATGGAATTCAAAACAACTTCATACAATTGTCAAACACAATAAGGGGAAGTGCAGTGCACAAGAACCATAACTCTATCTAAAGTAATTACAGAGTTATTGCCCTTTGTTACTTTTCCATTGCTTTCTTTTGTCCGGACCATAACTTGAAGACTAATTGTTGGAATTCATTATAACTTAATACAATGGTCAAGCACATTGAGAGGAAGTGCAGTGCACAAGAACCATAACTCCATCTTGACTTATTACAGAGTTACTGCCCTTTGTTACTTTTCCTTGTCCAGAGCATTATTTGAAAACTACTGTTTGAAATTCAATACAACTTCATACAGTTGTCAAGGACATTAAAAGGAAGTGCAGTGCACAAGAGCCATAACTTCATTTTGACAAAATACAGAGTTACTGCCCTTTGATACTTTTCCTTGTCCGGAGCATAACTTAAAACGTACTGGTTGGAATTCAAAACAACTTCATACAATGGTCAAGCACAATAAGAGGAAGTGCAGTGCACAAGAACTATAACTCCATCTTCAGTATTTATAGAGTTATTGCCCTTTGTTTCTTTTCCTTGTCTTTCTGGACTTATTACAGAGTAATTCAATAAAACTTCATCAATGGCCAACCACATTGAAAGGAAATGCAACATACAAGAACCACAACTATCTTTAATTGCCCACAACCATAACTCTATATTTCAATTCTTTTACAAGGTATTCTGTTACTAGTAACATCCTCATTTCTGAAGCAGTTTTGTGGGGGTATTAATCACATTTAGTGATAGTTCTAGTTATATTTGGTGTATTTTGTCATTACTTATTGATTATATAGTTGAGTTTTATGTTGCCTCTTTTGTGTTTTTGCAGTATGTATAGTTGTAGATCTTTAGTACTTTAAATGTAAGTCAAAATACCATATTATTTACATCCTGCTACCTTAGTCATAATTGTTTTCACAATTGACACTGTCTCTCAGGTGATAAGTATATTACATATTCTTAATCTATTATTTTAACATTATAAAACACATGTGCACTTACTACAAAAAGTTAAAAAGAGTTCATTTCTGAGGCTTAATGTGCCTTTAATGGATTTTTATAAACTCTTAAAATTATAAAGTTTATCTCACATCTACTTTTTTTTAAAGCTCATTTTTTTATAAGAATGAAGTGTTGAATGTATATCTTACAGTTTCAGATTGAGAATAAGGAAAGTAATTGTACTCTCCCAGGCATCGGCGTCACATTTGGATAAGTTTTTACCTGCAGGTTGGCATCTCCAAAATTATTGAAAAGAATGAATTTTAACTGAATTATGACTCTTTATAAACTTGAAAATTTTACATTATCTCAGCTCAAGCCCCGAAAACAGTCAAGCACACTGTCTTACCAATAGATCTTGTTATTATAGATGTTATTATAATGACATTTGTTTCACTATACAAGGTGTTTTGTATCAGTTTTAATTAAATACACATATATTATTATATGTAGTGCCTTTTTTTATGGGGATCGAAATATATTACAGTGTTTTTTCAAACTTGTGTTCATATGAAAAACAACTATTGTGTTCTTTGATTTGTAAATAACTATATGTGTACAAGGTTGAACTTTTAATTATTGTTGTGTATGAATATTATTTTGTAAAATGATACAGTAAAACTTCTATGAATTAATAAGGCAATTCTTGATAAGTAAAATAAGTAAAAGTAAGTAAAATTTACATAAGTAAAATGACAGTCCAGATTTTCCCCAAGTTTATAAAAACCTATATATGAGTTGAAATTTTGTTTATCAAATTTTTCGATGTGAAGAAGTTTTTTCGTGTCTGTATAGAATAAGTTAAGTACAATTTACTGTAAATTAGTTGAAGTCCCTGTATATGGAAGATGCAAATTATTTTACAAATAAAATGGCCCATCACTCTAGACTGGTATGTGAAAATGAATTAAAATCATCTGATGGTTCAAAATTACAACAAATTCTCTCAAAAAGCATTAAAAGTTGTTTTTTTAATCAATATTAAAACTATGATATTATTTTTTGGAGTTGGTTGGCAGGTGCTTTATTAAATACATAATGTCCCACTATACGTATTCTACAGTCCCGTGTTTAAACCTTAATAGGTGGAAACTGAATGTGTTTAGTCTTTGGCACCAGTATAAAACCTGGTCAAGTTTTGAAGTGACTGCTCTGCTCCAAATTTAAAGCAGCCATGGCAGTTACACATGTTAAAAGAGCTGAAAATTTATGTTTGTTTCCGATAAATGAAATGTGAATAAACTTGTAAATATAACATGTGTAGGTACTATACTGAGTTTTTTTAACATTAATGGCTGAACCATTTGTGTTCAAAATTTGCATTTCATTTGATGTGTGTCTTGCGCAAGTGTCCTTTCACATGTTCACTCTGTTTTTCGGAATAATCAATATAATTGAGCAAAATGACCTAAGATTGAAATGCCTTCTTTACTCAAAAAGAGCTATGAATCTCGTGAAAATGGATTTTCAATTTTATTGTAAAATTATTCATTTAATTTGTTTGGCATATATTTCCATTTCAAAATTTTATGTTTTTTATGCTGAAGCACCTTTAAGGTTTTTGTGAACAACTCTGAGCATTTGAAATTGTTATTTTAACACGACTTCTTTACCCCTTATGAATAAACAAAGACATGTACATTAGTATATTTCTATGTTTATTTATCATTTTTTATTTATCAGTTTTGCATTTAATGTAAGACTGTTATACTACAATCATGAGAAATAAAATGTCGATAAAATGAGATTTTATAATTATGTAGATTTGTTTTTTTTATCTTGGTGTCAATTTAATATCAAATTTTATCACACACCCGTGCCGATTTTGCGGCTCTGTAAATATATAGAGGATATTGAATAAGTGTAAGTTCAATACTGAATTTATTGCACGAGTTGAATAAAATTATATTATGCGAGCCTCTGGCGAGCATAATATTAATTTATTCAACGAGTACAATAAATTCAGTAATTAACTTACACGAATTTAATATTCTATTTATCACATACCCAAAATAGAGACCGTTTAAAGTGAAATAAGAGTCATTTTTCATTGACGCTCCTATATTATAACGCTAACATTTAGCGCGTCTTTACACTATGTTAGCATAACGCTAATGACGTCACGTCAAAATATATGCACGGCCGTGCCATACCATATTTACGGAGTCGCAAAATCGGCACGGGTGTGTGATAAGGTATAATATTGCACGGCCGTGCATATATTTTGACGTGACGTCATTAGCGTTAAACAAACATAGTGCAAAGACGCGCTAAAATGTTAGCGTTAAACTGTAGGCGCGTCAATGAAAAATGACTCTAATTTCACTTTAAACGGTCTTTATTTTGGGTATGTGATAAATCGAATATTAAATTCGTGTAAGTTCATTACTGAATTTATTGCACTCCAGAGGCTCGCATAATGTAATTTTATTCAACTCGTGCAATAAATTCAGTATTGAACTTACACTCATTCAATATCCTCTATACAAGCTTTAAGTGTACCACATACTGTATTTATATGAGGCCAAAGTGTACCACATACTGTATTTATATGAGGCCATGGTTGTATTTGAAATGAAGACGTAACAGGACTGAATTTATATATATAATATATTATAGGATTAAGTCGATAAAAGATCATGAAAATAGTGTAGGGTGCTACCTGGCCATCACTTTGAATCATGTAGCCGTCCAAACTAACCCAGTCGAAGTGAACTTGCTGCCGTGCATTGGCAGAACTGTACTTTCGAGACTGCCGATAATGGGAGAAATGAGAAAAAGGAAAAAAATCTAATTAAAAAAAAACAGTTATACAAGTAATTGACGGGACGAACTGACAGACAAATATAATATTCGCTCGTACATCAGATAAGCAACTTGTTTAACTAAAATCATACAACTTTGAAGCATTTTTTTTTTACAAATTATTTTTCTAACCACTGTTC